CCTTGGGTCTCTTGGAAATATTTTTATGCTTTTGATATAGGTAATCAGGCACATTTTCTGATTGTCTAGTCTGGAGTTGGCAGCAATAAAACTAGATAAAAATCTCTACATGCTGGATGGCATGACTTGTGTTTGCCTTATAACATTGCCAGTCTCTTACCTGCAGAGCCAGTAGGGTCTTAGAATTTCACCCAAGGTTGGCAGTGAGTCCTGTGGCCAGATGGCTGCTTGGGCATGAGGGCCATCTGTTCTGAGGTCAAGGGGGTGCCCCAGTGGGTGACTAGGGAGCTGGAACAATCTTGGGGAAAGGTAGTGGGGCCATAGCTCCAGATATCCAGAGCATTCTGGTGCCTCAGTTTTAGGTAGAACATTCCCACTTTTTGCCTTTTCCTTGCCCAACTCTGGGTTCCTCTCAAGGTTGCTGCTGCCCCTGGAACAGCTTTGGGCCACTGGACACAGCATCTGTGTCTCAATTTTCTCACAGCCAACTGAAGTTGATTAAACAGTGAATAAATTTAGAGAGGTGGGTTCTTTCACACCAGCTTCTGGGTCTTCACCTCCAGTTCAGAGAATAAGCTTAATTTCATTTTCTTCTCTTTCCCTCTCCTCTGTCTGGCTCAACTCAATGCTGATGCTTTTAAATACCAGTTTAGATCTCAGTGACCCACATTCATCCCCAATGACTGTGAGCACAAGTTCATGTTCACTGATGATTCAGGAGAACCAGGGCCTTGAAAGATGAGCTCAGTCAATGAATGTGAGCTGTGCAGTTTGTAATCCACCCCAATTCTATTGTTATATGCCCACTCCCTTACTTTTCGCTGGGTGTCAGCGTCCTTGGCCTTCCTGGGCCTGTGTGAGATCTCCACAACTATCCTCCCAAGACTCTTTATCCTCAAGTTTTTTAGGACAGGAACCCCCAGCCCCATGGGAGGTAGGCAAACAGCTATATGACCAGCAGTTATCTGAACAGGGAAGAAGAGATGGGAAGTGTTAAGAGGGGAGCCAACTCTGGGAACTTCCAAGTGTCAGCTCCTCTGCAAGTGATAGTCTCTCTATAGGAGACCCATAAGTGATCTCACCTATAGGTCAGAGCACCTGCCCTCAATACAGCAGAGAACTTAAATGCTACTGGGAATCTTCTAAATCAGCCAAAGGTCAAGGTGGATGAACATAAAGGGAAGAGGAGAACCTCCCCAAAGACCAGCCCCTGGAGCTCATTTCTTGCCCTAATAAATAATATCATCCCTAACCAACCCTTTCTTCTATCTGCCTTTACTTAGAGTCCATTCTTCCTCTCTCTGCCATTTTTTTTTTTTTTTTTGGTTGTTTATAGTCTAGTCCACACCTGGAAATTTGTTAGAAATGCAGATTGTCAGACCTCCACTGAATCAGAAACTCTACAGTGGGGAGAGCAAGTCCATTTTAACTGACTCTAGGTGATTCTGATGGGAGCTCAAGTCTGAAGGGTCCTGCTGTCACTTTTCTCAAGTCAGGCTGCAGACTCAGGAGTGTACTAACTGGGTGAGGGCTCAGTGCAACCCCAGGTCCCCAGGGGCACAACTCTGCACAGGAGCTACAGCAGGAAAGCAGAAAGAAGATTCAAGGAGGCAGCCTGGTAATTTATCAGATCTCCAGCCTGAGGGTCAGGACCTGGTTCTAGTTGGGTGATCCTGGCCAAGTCACTTAGCTCTCACACTCTGGCTTTTCCTCTATAAATAAGATGGGAAGAACTGGGTCTCTGAGGTTTGGGTAGTCCTTAGTTTGTAAGTTTGACTGTGACTAGCACCTGCCTCATTATTCCTTTCTTTCTTGCTGACTCTCTACCCAGCCCCAAGGGTAGCTCTGTGCTTCTCCTGATCCTCAGTCAGTTACTGTGTGTGTGTGTGTGTGTGTGTGTGTGTGTGTGTGTGAGAGAGAGAGAGAGAGAGAGAGAGAGAGTCAAGGAGGTAGAGGGAGAGAGGTCAAAATCTAGAAATGAAATAGCAACACAGGTAATGAGAGCCATCATCTCCAACAGAAATGAGACTGTCCTTTGAGTTCTTCCCTCCAGTAAGTTAAAGGCAGAGCCTTTCTCAGGAGCTCAGCTGAGCTGGGAGAGAGGGAGAACCAAGCTTCCAGGAATAAGAAGTAGTCATTTAAAGGAACAAGCCAAAAATGAAAGAGTTAAGCCTTTAATCACTTGTTGCCACAGTATTAGCAAGAGTCTAAAACTAACACAGGCACTCACTGCCCTATCCCACTTTCCCCCTTAGAACAGCATAGGAATCTGGGGGCAAGTGAGTAAATACAGACTCAGGGCATCTCACTGTGGACAGAGCCCTGAAAAAAGGCTTGGGCAGTTTCATGGACCCTGGGGTTGAGGGAGCTGAGTGAAGGGAAGTGTCCTCCAGGTTCCCTCTTCCTATCTATAAAGAGCATGCCCTGCCAGAAGGGCCTGAGACCTCGATAAGCAGCTCCCTCCAGAGTGTGTCACACACTGACTATGTCTCTCCCCTGGTGTGGAGAAGGTGGCTTTCCCATGAGTCAGGCCAGGCAAAGCCTTTGTGATTGTCAGTGGTTAGGCCCAAAAAGTCACACATAGGTTTTAAACCAGGGGCTGGCCTCCTCACTTCCCCCAGGGAGACTCTGTGTCCTCCTTCCTCACCGGCTTCTTCCAAGACTCCTCCTCTAGTGTTCAAGCAGAGGTGCAGCGACTCTCTCCAGATGGAAAATGCCTTTCATCCACATGTCCAGGCTTGTGACTCGCTTGGTTCCTGCCGTTTTAAGCCATCACATAAATAATTGAGAGGACTAAGCACAAATTCCTATCAAGGGCTTATATTATTGGCACAAAGACTCTATCACTACTAAGTCAAGCAGCATTCTCTCTACCTCTTTTGTGAAGAAGATCATGTATTAATAGCTACAGTCCAGAACTGTCTTCCTGAAAGGTGCTCAGACCTATATGAGAAAGGGATATTTCAGTACAAATCCTATTGATGCTAAATCTGATACCGAGTTACTACTTCCGGCCTATACCATTTTCATTCTATTTTACACACCCATGTCCTGTCTTTCCTGTAGGATTGTAAGCTTCTTGAAGACAAAGACTGCCTTACATGTCTGTATGCCACCCAGAGTACTTTGCTCTCTGATTCTTGCTGTCCGGACAATGTTCAGGATATAGTACCTCAGATAACATCTCAACAAATAAATACTTAACAAATAGATTTCTGGCAACAGTCTTCACCAAGAGACAAAGTTTAGAGCTGAAAACTTAATCCTTTCAAGTTCCATGAAGAACTGTCCACCAGCATGTGAAATGGCAGGAACATGAGATGGCAGGCATGATCTAACAGAACTGCCACTTCCCGGAATCTCTCCACGGGGGACCATCAACTTATGGGGGTCTATTTCTGGAGACAGTAAGCCAGAAGCCCCCACCTTTTGTTTTTGTTTGTCCCAGTACTCAGACTGAACTGGTGTAGATTTATGGGTTTGTGCATAACATGCTTGATGATTATTTTTTTTTTTATCCACCTTAACCCCCATCTCTGTTTGACCAGAGTCACCAAGGTGCTGCTGAAACAAACACATTCAACAAGCAGAGCTGGTCTGCTGCTTTCTAACTGGGCAATTTATTTATCTTAGGTAGAGAAAGAGGTACTTTCTACTCCAGGCAGGCACAGCCCCTGACCCCATCATCCCAATTCTTTCTCCTTTACCCTGCCACTGGCCCATCCCAGCTGCCCCTCCTGCTTTGTTGAAGCAGGTCCCAGACTCACAGCTCAGCTGGACTGAGCTTATCCCTGTCTTCCTCTCTGACTATCTCGTGGACAGGAGCCAGACTCTGGGTGTGTTCTTGCCATCAACTTTGCAGAGGAAAAGTCACCCAAGAAATTCCAGTTCGGCATTCCTCTAAGGATCAGTGGCTCTGACTGCTCAGCAAAATTACCTGGAGGAGAGTTTTAATAAGATGACTTCCTGGAATTTACCCTCAAACATTCAGATTCAATCCGTCTGGGGTGAAGCCCAAATGTCTGTAATTTTAAAAACGTTACAGGCGATTCTGATGCATGGCAGTTTTGGGAATCACTGCACAAATTCTGAGCTTTTTTGCAATCAGGATACACGTGAATCTTTTGTTGCCTCCAACGACTCACACAACACCTGGCACCTAAGCAACCATTGAATAAACATATTGAGTCAACGAGCAAAGGAATGATTGAAAGCAGGGTGGTGGATTGAGAGTACAGTCGACCTAGCATTGGCTCTAGGCAAGAGCCAATGGGATTTAGAAGGCAAAAATCAATCGCAGGGAAGCCAGGGATGGAATAGGGCAGCAGGGTGTGGGGGGGTGGGGGGTGAGCAAAAGAACTGGGTAATCTGAATCCCTTGTTGGAGAAAATGCTTCTGCCTTTAATGAGCTGCTCTTCCTATATTGGCATCTACAGGAGTTCTACATCTAGTCCCACCTAAGAAAGTCACTTCCCTGTTAGCCCTTCTGAAGCCCTGTATTGCCTCAGAATAGTCCACACTCCTTTCTTTGACCCATGAGTTCCTCTTTGTTTCTTTCCAGCTCAGCACATGCTACTTTCCCCCATCTCTTTCCCTGTACTAGCCACCCTGCCTATTTTCAGGTGTCACAAGGTGATATGTTCTCTCTAGGCCTACGACGCTCATTCCCTGCGCCTCTCTGCCTCGGGCTCTTTATTTCACCAGCAAACTCCTCTGTGACCATCAGATTACAGCATGAAACACCATCCCCATAGAAGAGACTGTCAGCCTCTTGAGGGTTCAGGTCAGCTTGCAGCATCCAAAGCCTAACCAGCAAGTGTTCCAATAGTTCAGCAGCACTCAGGATGGGGCTTGGCTTTTGTTCCTATAAAACTGGATTAATTCTGCAGAGACACAGACAAACCCCAGGACTTGGATCTAGAGAGGAATTGGAGCCAGGGCAGTGGGGTGAGAGTTGTGCTAAGAAGGAGAAAAGCAAAGGTGGGATTCTGAACAAAATAAACCAAACAAAAACAAAAGGGAGCCTGTCGTGCCCAGACCATTCTTGAGGTTTAAGCTGACTTGGGAGACCAGCTCCCATGGTCACGTTCAGCCAAAGCAGGCTGCTGAGTTGGCTCCAACACTGGGAAAACCCAGGCGACCTCACAGGCAAGAGAAGACTGCAGATTGCACTCAAGCGGAGACAAGGGGCCGTAGGTGGAAACTGTGCCCCGGAGCGCGTGGGCAGAGCACTCTCTGGCCCCTCCGCAGCCTGGGTAAGGTACACCGCAGGACCTAGTCAGGTGCAGCACGCGTGGGGCTCAAGGGCGCCTAGAGGCTTGCGAAGCCCGGAGCTGATTTGCCTGCTTGATGCACTGATGCCTTGATTTGGTCTGACAAGTGGAGGTTGCTGTGAGAAGCAGCCTGGATATTTTGACATTCAGCAAGCTAGAAATAGCCAGCTGGGCTCCTGAAGCTGTGGTTGCAAATGTCTTGCCCTTCCCAGCAACTGCCAGATTGAAAGGGCTTTTCCCCTGTGCAGACTTGCCCTCTGTGTATACGAGGCCAAGGTTCTAGTCTAAACTTGGCTTCTCACTCATGGCTTAGGGAAATTCTCTTGAATTGACTATGGCTCAGCTTCCCTTCTGTAATATGGGGTCGTTGGTAGCTGAGCCCCTTCTAACTCCAGGAGAATATGATTCTAAGTGGCTGACTGTCCCTCCTAATTCTGTGGCTTTTGCTTGATGTCTACTGCTTCCAGAAGCCTAGAACTCCAAATATCCACTCTGGGAAGGACTTGAAGATGATCCTGATTGAAAATGAAGCTTACAAACCTTTTATGAATCAAGGACCCTATGAGAATCCATTGAAATCTATGCCTACCCTAGAAAAATTAGTACACCTGCCAAACATTACCTACAACTGGTTTAAATCTCAGACACTTGGTTTAACATCTGCAATCTGCCCAACACCTTGCAGGTGAGAAGACTGGCCTGAAACAAGCCTTCAACGTTTCCCCTACCTGCCTGTCCTCCAGCACCGTGAGTACCACCTTTTCCCTCCCTTTGTCCTTCAATCAGCCTCCTCACTATCCCCCTGCTTGGGAGATTTCATAGAGGAAATTATCCTATAAATAATTGTTTAAAAAAAAAAAGTGTGGTGTCCTCTAGCAGAGAAAGTGAAAAATATCCTCCTCCCATCTCTCTCCAGCTACTTCCTCATCCTTGCCACAGTTGGGGCGGAAGTTGGGGGGTAAGGGGAGGCAGAAGTAGGAGGCAAAGCTATTGCAACCAAGTATTCCCCACCTACTGCGGAAGATGCACCGTCATTGCTATCACACTAAACTCCCTACTCCGCATCAACCAGCAGCCACCTGACTGGGGTAAAAGAACCAAAGCCATTATTGCACAATGGCTTGCCTTAAAAGAGATGCTTGCCCACAGTATCTGGCTACCCAGGGGCTTCTTGCAACCAGGAGCAAGGGGGAGGGGCCTTTTAAAAGCACTTGTAAGAAACAGCTCTAACAATGGATGATTGAGACTGTAATTGGTCCTCACTCCTACCATCTTGTTTTGATAAAATGACATAGCCCAGCTGGGGCTAGGAAGGCAGTAAATAGAAATTCAACCTCTTGCTATTTAAAATGTGCATAGGACCAGGACATGAGTATCACTAGGAGCTTAATGGAGATGAAGGCTCTGACTAGGGTCTATTGAAAGGAGATCTGCATTTTTGACATGATGGTGAGGTGACCTGTGAGCATATCAAGGTTTGTCAGGCCTAACCCAGGTCTGCTACTAATGGCCAGTACTAGACTCTCATTCATTCCTTTCTATACACAGAAAAGCACAACTGTTAAACCAAATTGTTCCAAGCTCTGTGTGCAAGAGATGGTAGCTGTGCTCATGAGGAGGACTCTCCTGCAGGCACCCCCTTTACTCAACCAGAAACCCCACCTGCCTATTTCCAGAATCACCCCTGTTGGGCTACTTTTTTTTTTCTATTGCTTTATCTTCTGGGAAAAGAGAAGTCTGCCTCCAGCACAGAATGTAATTTGGCTTTAGCTTTATCTGTAACTCTGATCTCCATGCTTCTTGAATCAGTTCCAAAGTCTTACTATAAACTAGAAATGGGTGGCAGGTGATTCCTTGGAATTGCCCCTGTACACAGTCCAGCATTATTTCCACATGCCTCTGGAAATGAAGCTACAGAAACCACAGGAGGGGAAGAGAGCACAGATTAGTGACTTTGAGAGTAGAAGAGAAGGGAAAAGATGGAAGAGTTGTGCAAAAATGTGCTCAGAGGAAGACAGGCTGGAGTGACACCTGCTGAGATAGGGACGTGATCTCCTAGGATGTCCCTCCCTGCCTGTTCTCTACTAACACTGAAGTTTCTGTGGTTAAGAAAAGAGATGCTTGGCCAGCTCATAGAAAAAGTAACTTTGTTGTTGTCACGGCTTTTAAAAGGGTCAAAAGCAGAGCAACTTCAAGGTGGTAGCTGCTCTGTTCGTAGCCTTAGAAAGACACCCTTGATCTTTTATTGTCCTGCCTTTGCTCAGAGCAGCAGACTCTCCCTGAGGAAATGGCTTGCCTTAAAAGAGATGCTATTATAGCTGAAGATGTTTTAGCTTCACTTCTAGCCTCTTCCCTGTGGGAAGTAATTGCTGCTGTGGTATGTATGACCTGTACCTTCTACCCTGGCATCTTTACCTAGGTGACAGCAGCTAAGTGGACACAGCTGCTTAAAATTCAGTAGGACTCATGAAGACTGGTTCAGACAACAGGATAGATAAGTACAAGCAAAATTGCACAGTATAAGTTATAAGGTGTTTGCCAGGGCAGGAGGCTGGATTCAGCTAGTGGAATGAAATTATTATTACCTGGAATCCTGGATTAGTGAGAAAATCAGAGAGACACTGATTCTGCATCGTATACAAACATCCAGCTGAAAAGAAGAATAAAACTTCACCTCATCTTCTAGATGCCCGGCAGTTCATTATATATAGATGCTACAAAAGGATTCATATTGCCCCCTGAAAAAAGAATTAATCAGAAGCCTCCCAAATCCCAGCATCTCTAACACAAAGTCATGACTCTCAGCTCCTGGTACCTGCTTCTTCTGAGCCCAGATGTGCTCACAGTTCAGCTCTCTCTACAAAGCCAAGGTTTTATTTTCCTATAAACTCAAATTTACCTCTTCTAGGAAGACTTCCTGAATGATTAAAGGGATCTCAGTGCAAAGGAACTATACCACTCAGGAACAGGCAACCATGCCACCCCGCTCTCCTTTTTTGTGTAACCCTGGAATTATTCTCTAATTGTTTTGTTCTTGTCTGTTTATACAAGTAGCCATCTATGTTCTGCTCCTTCAGGTATCTCCCAAGTTCCTAGTGTATATATAGTAGTTGCTTGGCCAATGTCAACTGGGTTGACCTAGACAGTAATCTCTAAGTGGTAGGTCCTTGGCTCATCCATCTGAGACCCAGGACCTCTTAAACAGACTGAAAAAGGATTTAGACTGTTGACTTCAGGACATATTTGGCTCTGTATGAATGCTTTGTTTTTAAAAGCAGGGTGGGTTTTTTTGTGTGTGTATGTTTTGTTTTGTTTTTTCTCTGTTGCATTGAAGAGACAAAGCCTCATTGTTAGTGCATTTCTTAAGTCTCTGCTTGTGTTGGATGTCACTGTCAGGCCAGAGTCCCCACACACAGACTTCTTCACTTTTCTCTGAGCAGTCTCCAGAGATGGGGCAGGCAGTGGAATGTATTCAAACCATGGTCTATTAATAAAAGAAACCAGAACAATGTGGGGATTCATCTCTTCTTTAATTCCCCCTATGTTCTGAACCAAAACTAATGAAAAGGATGGATGTGTTTTATTCACAAATAGTAATACTTCTCCAAAAGCAGTTTGGTAGCTAGAATGTCAGTGACTACCTGACCAATAAGACTTGCAATGGTGGCTGAGAATGGTGTTCTGGATTTCTAGAACAAGTTTCCGCTTTCCATCACCTTCATCCTTAGGAGGTAGCTGAGACCATTCATTTATTCCCAAGTGGTGTGTATCTGTTGTGTGCCAGACTCTGGGATAGGCATTAGAATAACAATGACCAGTGAGACATATGCTGCTTATAGCCAAGTGGGAAAGACTGGAAATGATCAAATAAGTAACTGTCAATATATAATTATCAACTATGATAATTTTCTTTTCTGATGGAAAAGAATAATAGGATGCTCTGCAGGGATATTAAAAGAGGCTTTATCTAATTTAAAGGGGGGTAGAAAGGAGAAGTCAGGAAGTGCTTCTCAGAGGAAGTGACATTAGGGTTGAGCATTGAAAGAGAAGTCAAAATTAAAAAGTGAAGCGGGTTAAGGTAGCACTTGAGATACAAAGAACATGCTCATTAGAGGAACTGAAAGTCCCTGTGGCTAAATTAAAAGGAATGAAGAAAGCAAGGATCTGAAGAGGTGGGCAGGAGCTGGATAACATGGGAATGCATTGACTGTGCTGAGGATGTTGGCTTTTGTTTTGTAACAATGGAGAGCCATTTTAAGCAGGGAGGGGATGAGAACATTTATTTCCAGAAGATTATCCTGTTGAGACAATGCTGAGCAAAGACATCATTACTCAAGTCTCCTCCAACCTTCTCATTGCATTGTCTAATAAGCCTTCCAAGTCCTGCTTCTATACCTCTAAACCAAAAGTAGGTGTGTCTCCCAAGGCCCACTACAAAGCCCAGAGGGCTTTTGGAAAGGTGTTGGGCCCTGGTGAAAAATCACTGCTCAGGCATTTAAATCTGGTTGCCTTTATTTCCATCAGCATTTTGTCTCCACTATTCCTTCAAATTATTGCCTGTGGCCCCCCATGCCCAGGCAGGCTCACTTCTGTAGGATCACAGTAATCATGGCTTTGACTGTAAATTGCCAATCCCAAATTAAGTGATTAGCCCAAGGTCGATGGGCTAGTCAGCTGCCATGCCAAGGACAGCTTTCCAGTTCTGTGAACACAAGGCAGATGTGCTCCTCGGGAGTGTGGTCAGAGGCTTCTAATATGAGATATTCAGAAAAAGAAGGGAAGAAAGAGTTCCGTGTTCCCCAAACACTTGGATTTGTTCTTTGGTATTCATATTTATTCTAAGATTCAAAAATTCCTAGGATCAGCGTCTGGGGTGGTCAGGGAACTTTTTGAGTGGAAAGTGATTCTTCCTTTGAAAAGAATGTTTTAATCATGTTTGGCTCTTCCTGACTGTGTATACTTTTTTGGATGATGCTAGCTTTCTTGTGGGCTTCCCCATCTTGCTATTTCCTGAAGCTACTGGGACAGTTGAAACAGGCAAATGAACAACCCCTGGGTGCCAAAAAGACACTTTAATCCTCAACAGGCTTTGTTCTGAAAAGTAATGGCTTGTTCACATGATTTGCTTTACAAATTTTGTGCCATTGGCAGGTTGTGTCTGGGCCTTTCCCCAGCCCTCTGCAGAAAGGAGAGCCAGAGTTACTCATCCTTCTGCATTTTAAAGGAATTCCAGGAGTGTTCTGACGAGCTGCTGCAAACCCTGTGTTATTTAAGGACTTCTGAGCTTGGATGTTTCAGGCCCTAGTAATGCAATTGAAATTGGAAATGTGTCCTGTGTGTGCCAGAGGTAGCATTCTACTTTCATCACATGAGGTGAAAGAGCCATGTGAGGCTTTATGGGTGGCTTCCTGGAAGAGGAGCAACTTGACAAATGGGACCTCCATGTCCGGCTTTGTCCTTGCAGACAGAGCTCCCTCCCTTCAACCCACTTCCCACTCTGTGAGCTGATCTGTCCTGACAGCTGCCAAATTAGTCCTCTCATTCTTGGGGCTGGCTCTGGCCCTCCCACTTCAGACTTACTTCAGGGACTGTATAAACTGCCTTAAAATTCTTCCTAGGAGAGAGAGTAGTTTGAACCAGCAAATAGGTTCCAATGAATATGTACATCTGTGGTGCCAGAATTTATCCACCACATGCAAATCTATATTTGAATATAAAAGATTTATAAACAGTTCTGAAAAATACAC